CCATCATTGCCGTTCCTACCTGGTATTCCAGGTGGTCCAGGATTGCCTTAGAATCGTAGTAATTATTTTATAGGAGACAAAAGAGGTTCTCAATTATACCCTTTCAAATTAAATGATCGTTTTAAACCCAGAAAAAAAAACTACCATTTCCAATTTCACTTTCACAGTGGGCATTAAAAGCTTTTTGTACAGATACATCAGAAAATTTGCTTGAAGTCGTCATTTTTACTACTTTAGACGAGGCACAAGGGTTTCTTGACCGCTTCTTACATAGTTTAATAACTGTTTTGTCTGCTGCACTTAGGCTGCTGAAATATTAAACGTTATCTTACCAGGATCTCCTGGAGGTCCCGGCGGTCCAGGTTCTCCTGGTGGACATGGAGTGCAAGGTGGAGGAGTAACTTCTTCGCATATCCTACAATTATTTTTTCTAGAATGGAATTAATAGGTATTCCAATGAAAATAAATAATGCTTCGAAAACGTAGAAGACGGTTTTCCTTAAGTTTTGAAGATCAATTTAGTTTTTTAACTTCTATGCTTGTTAAAAAGGGGCTGCAAACTCATAATTAGTATCAGTAATATGTAGTATTTCAGAATGTTTTACGCTGGTGGACGACCAGGGAAACCTGGCATTCCCTGTGGTCCTGGTCGCCCTGGGATACCATGTTTGCCCGGAAGACCGTCTGGACCTGGTTCTCCAGGAAGGCAGCAGCCTACAAAAAACTCACCACTAGGAGTTATTTTTAGTGATTATCTTGAAGAACAGCTGTTAATAATTTCTGCTTTATGAAATTAAACAAGAACTAGGATTTCTCTTATATACAGGAACATTTTAAACAATCTTTTAAGGGGATTGAATTTGCACAGCAGTTTAAAAGTTGTCGGAATATTCACTGACAGTTGGTAAAATTCCGACAGTGTAGAATTTGGGAAGCAAAGAAATCGATGCCTTTACCTTCGCAGATTCCACTAGCTTGTCGTTTTTGCCTTGGCCATGTTGCATTATTGATCATCTTTTGCATCAATTCTGGTACTTTGCTGTTTGGTGAGGTCCGATATTTTTCTACTTCTAACAGAACATCTCTAGCTGACATCTCAAAATTTATTTTGTTAAATTTTGTTAATTTTTGCTTTTTAAATTTTCTTTTCAAATGGGTACTCGTTGCAAAATTCTTTAAATGGAACCGACAGTAACACTACAAATTTGTAATTAAAGATGTACATGCATAAATTACAGTCGTAAATCATGTTTGGCGAAATAGTTTCTGTATTCTTTTTTATTGAATAAACGAAAACTGACGAAGTGATAGTACAAATATTTCTTTCAATAAATGGTAGGCTCTTTGAAATTGCGAAAAAAGGAGTTAGCCTCCTTAAAAAATATATATTTAAGTGCAAGCTTCTTTGTAATTAGTAAAGATGTAAACAGATACCTTACAGAATTCCATCTCAGACTGTACCCTGGCGTGCATGGAATTAACATAATTGTTGACCATTGGTAATGTGATGAAGGCTACTAAAAGTGCCAGAAAAGATGCTATTAGAGCCGAATAGGCGACATATCGATAGGCTCTTTCACGTTCCTCTGATTCTACTAACATAATGGATTGAAGATTAATAAGGTGTGCTGGAATACACAGAGAGGGGAAAGGCGATTAAAAGATCAACAGGGTTTGGTATTCAAAATTTGTCTGTCCTCTAATATTGTGCCCAAAATTAAACTCCCAATGGAGTTGGGAGGAAGGGGAGGGGGGGTGTAAGAGAAGAAAATCTACAAAAAACTTATTGTATCTTAATTGTGGTTAATTTATACGGTTAATACTTTGGTGGCTGCCGAAAATAGCAGAATAAGAGGCGGAGAAAATTTTGCGATAGGTGTTTTGTTGTCAGTTGTGAAAATAATACACATTTTTTTTTTTTGTTTACGATTTTTTGCTTGTTGAATAATAACAATTTTAATAACTGGTTTCCAGTTAGTTGTTGTTATGCTTCTGTCTTCCTTTTTTTTTTTCTTTTTAATTCCTATTGCTAGAATCGGCCGTTCTGCTTAACATCAAATACTGTGCTATAAGCGTATTGAGCAAAAGAAAAAAAAAAAAGGAAAACAAAACAAAAAAGCAAAAATAAGACCCAGCAGTAGTTTTGGGGGTATATTGGCAGCAAATTTTTTTAATAAATGCATATTAAATGTTGAAATTCAAACAGTTTAGGACGTCTCTGCTCTATCTTTTTTCTTTCCTCACTTTTACATAAAACATTTCAAATTTCGGTCCTTTGCAAGATTTTTTTGTACAACATTACCAGCAGTTGTGATAACAATACCATTAGTAAAGTTTGGTTGGTTTGGTTAAAAGTAAGTTTTGATTAGTTTTGAGCATATATTTTTTTGTTGCCAAAATTTAGGTATGCACTTTAGAATTTTCCAAAATAAAAAAGCGGTCAGACTATAAAAAAACAAGTATCAGAAAAATGTTGCAAACATTTTTTGTTTTATTTGATATAAGTAAATCAGAAATTGGTTTCTGATTATGCAAACGATATTTTTTGCCAGTTTTTCGGAAAGAATTGCATAAGATATTCGGAAGGAAATTATGATGATCTTACTGTTAGTTACATTTCTAAAATTTTTGCTTTAAAATTAGACAGTTTTTTGTTTTTATAGAATTGTTCATTTTTCTAACCTGTACACTACTGTACTACTGCTTCTTTATTTGAAACTTTTTACTGAATTTGATTTCCATTTATTGAAGCTGCCCAAAATTTGTAAATTATTGTTTTGATACATCAATTGATTGTATGTTTTTAAAGAATGTTAAAACTGTTCTGAAATATATCCAAAAGACTCGCTGAAGAATAAAGTCATTATTGTTATTAAAGTGACTGTAAGAGAACTGTATCAGTTATGGGAAAAAATGTTTGGTTTTCGACACTGATTTTACCACTCAATTTTGATAAGTCTTAGTGAAATGTTACAAAGAGGATAGTGTTAAAAATTCTAAGCTTGTCTTCAAATTGCAGCTAAAATTAAGTGAAACCGTGATTGCTTATGCAATTTTCTCAATTTATTTTTGCTTTTACAATGCTTATTCGGCCACTAAAAGTTCCTTCAAAATAGAATCTTTTTGTCTTTTTTATTTCTTTTTTTTTCTGCTGAAATCTAGCAAAGTGATTTGCAACCGACAGTTACACTTTAATCTGCAATTTCTTTCGCCAACCACTTCATTGTCTAATAACTTGACAAGCACTTAATGTGCTCAAAACTGTTGGCAATGTGTAGCAAGCAAGGATAAATGCACTGCTGTTCGTCAATTTCTATGAACAAAAATTTTTCTGTTGCCTGAATAGCAGACTGGAATTCAGCTGTTCAACCGAGTAAAACAGACAAAGTATAATTTTTTTTCACTCAAATTTCCAGAACCTCATTACGACGAGTGAGATGTATAATCACGTTTGTTAAGAAATACATGTAGGGAAATCTCCATTGTTTTTACCAGTATTTTCTCGTTTGTAACATACCAAGAAGCATATGGTACAGTACAGATGACAATAGCTATAAGATAGTTTTTATTTGCAGGAACTCAAGTGGCATAACGCCTACGAATGGGGCCATCTGCAAAGAATACTCCGCCATCCAACGCGCAATATTTTGGACATATCCCGCGCTCACCAGCTGGTCCGTCTAATCCAGGCAAACCTCGTTCTCCACTATTTCCTGGTTGTCCTGGAATGCCTGGGGGACCTGGTGGCCCGCGTCTTCCAGGAGACCCGCTGGATCCTGGCATTCCGGGCATGCCTGGTAATCCAGGTTCTCCATGATCGCCCTGAAGCACTCTGTTTTTATCAGGTTTTAGAGGGCTTTTTTGCTACTTTTTTGTTTATAGGTTGTGCAGTTTTGCTTTCTATGACTGGCGCAGAGAAATGAAGTCGTTTGTGACAAAAAATTTTACACACATCAGGCCCTGGTGGTCCAGGTTCTCCAGGCATTGCCTGTGCACTGTAAGCGTCTTGACCTGGATTACCCATTTCGCCTGGTAAGCCAGATGGTCCGTCAGGTCCCGTTTGGCCAGTAGGACCTTGACGACCGTCAGGACCCCGTTCTCCAGGTTCTCCTGGTTCGCCCAGTAAACCTGGTGCGCCTAAAAAAATTTTTTAAAATTTTTGTTCTTTCACTGTTCATTGCAAGATATTGGAATCAAAAGGTGTGTTCCAGACGCGCCACCGCTTCCGCCGCAACGTGTTTTTTGATTGCATCTGACCGGTTTTTATTTTGAGATGTTTTCAAAACTTGTGAGATGTTGTAACTATACTGGTTGTTGAAAAATAATCAATTTTTAGAGTAACTTTTATAGGAAATGCTAAAGTATAAGTGACAGAAAAAAAAACGAAAATTAGTGTAACTTATATTCTACGGTTAAAAAATTTGTTGTCACCTTTATCTCCTTGTGGCCCAGCTGGTCCTGGTGGTCCTGGAGGACATGGTCTGCATGGTGGAAGAGTTAGTTGCTCACATATCCTGTAATTTAGTTTTACCTTCAGACAACTGACTCGGATTTTTTAGAAATTGATTACTTTTTCATTCAAGGTGAGAAAAAAAAAGAAAAACGAGAAAATTAGACTACCTTGGCGGTCTACCAGGCGCTCCAGGGGCTCCTTGAGCTCCAGGCTTTCCTGGCAAGCCGTTTCTTCCCGGTCGACCGTCTGGCCCTGGCTCACCCGGCAAACAGCAACCTATAACGGAAACTGGTCTATTAATTACTTTATTGAAAGCTATGAATTTTTGTAATATGGTTTGACTTTTCAAAACAGTCATTTTAACTGGATCACACCTTGACATTCATTTCCACTTTGCCTTTTTGTCCTCGTGTCATTTAAGTTTATTAAGTTGGAATAACTTGAATGATGAGTCTGAGGAGGCTTTTTTCGGAAGGACTGTATTTCCATTATCATTTCGTTGGTATAAGACTGTAATAAAATTTTTAGTGTCTCGCATCTTATAGTTTGAAAAATGATCTTTAAATTGTCCTCTGCATTTGATGCGTCAGACATGAAGTTTCTATTCTGACATCGCAGCCTTAAAAAACATACATTTGAGACACTCTATCGTCTTAATTATCAAGCTTCTGTTTATTCTATGTTTAAGCATGCTTACTTTTAACAAATCCTTTGTCTTTCGATGGAGAAGAAACAGTTGTATTAAATAGAATAAATCATATCAAACCTGGCAAAAGTCGATTTCTTGAAGCGCATGTAAATTAGTTTTGTTCAGAAACATGTTGATTAGCGGTAACGAAACGAATAAAGATAATGCAGCCAACAAGGAAAGAGTTGTGGCCATATATGTTACTGTCTTGTAAGCAGTCTCTTTCGTCGAAACGTCCATCCTGAATTTAAAAAAAAAATACTTTCAATCAAAGAAGTTTGGCTGAACGTTTATTTTTGAGCAGAATATTTTCTTACTTCTATAAACAGAAATTAATTTAAACGAATAACAGGTATTCAATGATAAAGGACTTGAAACAGTCGTTGAGTCTTTGAAATTGCTAAATACAGTAGAAGTAACAAAGCGGAAAGTTGTTATTATAGTACTATTTTCTGACTAACTTTCTTATTTCACAGTGGATATGTAATAGTAAAGAGGCGGTACAAATAATCTTGCAAAACGGAAGTTTTCTTCGCCTATTTCCTTGCACAGTTACTTAGCTGTAGAACAGCGGGTTAGAGAGGAGTATAAGAAAAGGATGAGATAGAACGAGAAAACAGCAATAGAATTAAAAGTAAAAGAAACTTCTGTTTTTGTTAAACATCGTTGTTCTATTTTATATGAACAGGTGAGTTTTGTCGCATTGATAGGACCGGTTAACAGTGTTCCGTTACTGTAAATGTCAAAATAAACAATAATTACGGTCATGACTGCACCTAATAGTCGACGACAGCCTTTTAGTTCTGCTGTTCTGGACTTCAACTCAATGGACTGCGTTGGCTCAAAGAGGAAATTTGTAAAAATCTCGACTACTTTCTAAGTTTTTTGAGGTTGCTGTGTTGTCTAAATTGGACAAGCTGTCACTTCAATTCTCTTTTCGGGACTTCGGATTTCAATGTTTTTGCAAGTATACTTTTTACTAAGTCTTACACTTTTATTAATAAACGTAGTGGACAAAAAAAAATTTTTTTTTTTAAATGTACTAGTCAGACCAAATACAGGCTTGTTCTTTATGTTTTCTGTATATAGTATTTATTAAGTTATAACACGAAGGTGCTTACACTGTTGGTTATATGTGCATCCATTTATTTATTTATTCTCATTACCATTATTGCAATTAGACTGTCTTTATTTTATTGCGGTATAACGCTGGCATGACAGTGATTCACGTATATATAGCTGAAAATTAGGAAAAATTCAGATTGGAAAAGTTTGTTTTATTTCCTTCGTAATCTTGGTAGGATTAAGGAGTTAGAAGTGTGGTCATACCACAAAATATAGACTTGATTCTATGGGCGATATGGCGCTCTAGCAAATTTAAAAACGAAGAAATTGTTTCGAGATCAGGAAGAGCATTATTTTCTTAACAAAAAATTTTCAAAAGAATTTCTGTCGAATGATAAATACTGATACTAACTCATGCTATAATATACCGTTTTTTTTTTCAGTTAAACATTTTTGAGGTCATCATATAAATTCTTTTTTTGGGACTTCTAAAGTTTTTGAAAAATTTAACTTCACCAGAGTGCTACTAACCCTATTGCATCAAAAGATGACAAAGAAAATCGAACGATCAACAACAGGTTACCAAAGAATGAAAAGAACAAAACAAAAAAAAAAAAAAAAAAA